CAAATAATAGCCCGGCCCAATGGATTATATTATTAAAACACTCGTCTCTTACAATTTAATGTCCAAATAATAGCCCAGCCCAATGGATTATATTATTAAGACACACTTACAATTTAATGTCCAAATAATAGCACAGCCCAAATAATAGCCCAAGCCCAATGTATTAATGTGTGCACAATGGATGTGGGTTACAGCTATAACCCACGGTTGTAGTCCACATATAACATGCATATGATAATAAGAATGGATACAGCTGGCAGCAACAAACACCATTAGTCTGCCAAGGATATGAAAAGTCTACAGAGCGTGAATATACTCTCCACCAGAAACAGAAAATCTGCTACAGCTGCGCGTGAAGAAACCATCATCTTCAACTTTCCAAAAGCCCTATCTTCGAACCAGCCGCCACCACGAACTTACAGAACATATCCGATCTAACATAAAGGCTTGAAAAAAAGTTCAAATCCCTAACAAGCATCCACGATACAATCTTCTATGAGCAAGTCTTCATCAGCCGTGTCCGATGTCGCGAAAGGGTGTCCGACCCATATCCCGAGTCGGTGTCCGTATTGTATCGTGTCAACACGGACACCCTGGGCTAATATGCCGAGTCCAGGTAACACAGGCTCCCACCCAACCCCCTCTCTAGGTGTCCGTCAAGCCTCTCGTAGATCTAGGCATGAGATTTGAACTCGAGACTTTGGCTCTGATAGCATGTTAACCACCATTTACTCTAAAAGCTTAAGTTGTTAGAGAAGGTGCAACTATAATATTTATAATCTTCAAATAATTTTAAAATTAAAACATGAATAAAATAATAATATAATAATAAAAGGACAAATCTCTAAATCTATCTATCTTACCTACATCTTTAATAGCAAAAGCGAAACACATGCACTTCAAGCTCTTGGGCCATATCCCGTTCTCCATCACAAAATCAATTTAAATCATGAACATTTTGAAACCCTAATTATGTGAGGCAGGTACCCTAATTTGTGAGTGCATCATTGTGTCAATTTACCTTTTAACCCTTACTGATGAAGATCACTAAAATACCCTTGAATATAGAATCATTTCAGTCTTCACACATCATTTCATGGCGGCAGAAATCCCTGGCTTTATGGCTCAAAGAGGGAGAACGCAATACGAAATTCTTTCATAGGCTCGCTAATGCCCATAGGAGGTGCAACCATATCAGAAGGATCTATGCGGATGGAGTGGAGATGTGTAGGGAGGAGGATGTGTATAGGGGGATTGTTTCCTACTAGCAGAGGCTCTACTCGGAGACTGTTGGTTGGAGACCCAGGCTCGGTGGCCTTCATTTTGATTCAATCTCCGTGTTGGAGAGGGATGGGCTAGAGATTCCTTTATTTGAGGAGGAAGTGTTTGGGGCGTTGAAGAGCTGCAATGGTGATAAGTCTCCGAAACCGGACGGGTTTACTATGAGATTTTTGTTGGAGAACTGGGAAGTGGTTAGGAGTGAGGTAATGGGCACTTTTCAGGAGTTCTATTCTCACGAGCGGCTGAGAATTCGTTGAACGCTTCTTTCATTACCCTCATCCCTAAGAAGGATGGAGCTTCTGATGTTAAGGATTTTAGACCAATAAGTCTTGTGGGGTGTATTTATAAGCTTATTGCTAAAGTCCTTACTTTGAGAATGAGGGCGGTGCTAGATGGGGTTATTTTAGTCTCATAACGCTTTTGTTGGTAGTCGACAAATTCTTGACTCTGTTCTTATTGCCAGTGAGTGTGTGGATTCTAGGCAGAGAAGTGGTGAACCGGGAGTTTTATGCAAGCTTGATATCGAGAAGGCGTATGATCATGTCAGTTGGAGCTTTCTGCTGTATCTGCTAGGGAGGTTGGGTTTTGGAGAGAGATGGAGGGGGTGGATTGAGGCTTGTATTTCCTCAGTTAGATTCTCTGTTCTGGTGAACGGATCTATTACCGATTTTTTTGGTAGCTCTCGGGGTTTGACACAAGGTGATCCTCTATCTTCGTTTTTATTCCTTATTATTATAGAGGCTCTCAGTAGGTTGCTGGGAAGGGAATTATCAAGGGCTTTAGGGTCGGTAAAGACTCGGGTTAGATGGAGATCTCTCATTTACTGTTTGCAGATGATACATTGGTTTTCTGTGATGCTAATGTAGCCTAGCTGAGATATTTGAGGTGTGCCCTGGTTTGTTTTCAGGTATTTTCTGGGTTGAAAATTAATGTAGGAAAGAGCATATTTGTCCTTATAGGGGAGGTTTAGGATACCGCATCTCTTGCTGCAATTCTTGGGTGTGGGGTGGGCTCTTTTCCTATCTCCTATTTGGATTTCCCATTGAGTGCTCCGTCAAGGAGAGTGGGAGGTTGGATCCTATGATTGAGAGATTTGAAAGAAGACTGGCTAGTTGGAAGAAGCAGTACCTTTCGAAAGGTGGGAAGGTTACTCTTTTGTAGAGTACACTGTCGAGTCTACCTACTTACTTTCTATCCCTTTTTCAAATTCCCGTCTCAGTGGTTGAAAGGATTGAAAGACTTCAACGGAACTACCTTTGGGGTGGACGGGGGGACGAGTTCAAGTATCATCTTGTTCGTTGGGATCAAGTGTGCAGGCCAATTCCATTAGGAGGTCTGGGTATTAGGAGGTTGGCCCTTTTCAACAAGGCTCTTTTGGGAAAGTGGTTGTGGAGATTTGGTAATGAGCGCCATCGTCTTTCGAGGAAGGTGGTTGTGTGTCGCTACGAGGAGGAAAGAGGCGGTTGGTCCTCACATCCGGTCAGATTCGCTAGAGGTGTGGGAAGAATTTTCTAAACATATTAGATTTAGAGTACGGGATGGCAGGGGAGTACGGTTCTGGGAGGATTTATGGTGTGGTGATCGCCCGTTGGCTCATTCCTTTCCCAGACTTTTCCGAATTGCCTTGGATAGACATACTTTAGTGACCAACTGTTATCGGCTCGATAACGGTAGGCTTGCATGGGATGTTCGTTTTCAGCGTTCCTTTCAAGATTGGGAGTTAAAGGAGGTTGCAGGTTTGTTGGAGCTGTTTTACGGACAGGAGATAGATGGTAGTGGCACGGACTCTCTGGTTTGGGTGACTTCCTCTCAAAGGAGGTTCGAGGTTCGTTCCTTATTCAGTTGTCTATTTGATTTTCATGGTTCTAATTTTCCTTGGAAAACGGTATGGCGTTCCAAGGCTCCCCTTAAAGTGGCCTTCTTTGTCTGGACTATTGCTTGGGGCAAGATTTTAACCCTGGATAATTTGAGAAAGAGAAGACAGATTACAATCAATTGGTATTGTTTGTGCAAGAGGAGTGGGGAGTCTGTGGATCACCGTCCTGTAGCTCATGACTATTGGAGCCTTATCTTTGGCATTTTCGGCGTCCATTGGGTTATGCCTCGATCCTCAAGGGGTTTGATTGACGCTTGGCGAGGCTGTAGTGTGGGAGCCCACGCCCGTGAGTGTTGGTGGGTTCCCCTTTGTGTCTGGTTGTGCTTATGGAAGGAGCAGAATAGAAGATCTTTTGAAGGGGAGGAATCTTCCTTAGGGGCCTTGAAGTTTCATATTATTAGCTCTCTTTTTAGTTGGGTTTTGGGGAAATGTGTGCATCCATTGATGAGTTTATTGATTTTTTGGGTTCAGTGGGTCCTTAGGACCTTGTCTCTAGCTTCGGCCTCTATATAGCTCGTGGGACGTGTTCCCAATTTGAACGCTTTCTAATACATTTTACTTATCAAAAACAAATAAGCTAACTTTTGTCCAATTTTTAAACTAAGCTAGAAATGAAAACAAAAGTACAGGCCTGAGTTTTGATTTACGAAATTTGGCAACATAAAATTCCTATTGACCTATCAGCTATATTTAAAATATAACTGTGATAATTTTTTATTTAAAAAATAAAATAAAATAAAATAAAAGAGTATCAAAGCCTCAAGATCTATTCAACCCCCTCTATATCTGTTTTGAGCCTTGCACTAACACTAGTATCAAAGCCTCAAGTTCCAATCCCAAATTATTTATATCAATTGGTATCAGAGCCTATCGATTGTAGATTTAACAATTAGTACTGGAGCATATCAATTATAGATTATTTTTTCCTTGACAAGAAAACCACACCCCCATTTGCCCCTATGGGGACTTGAACCCTCAAATTCCACTTTGGAGGTAGAGGAGATACCACTATGGTGGTATATCAATTGTAGGTTTAACAAGGAGTTTGGGAAACTTATCTTCCCATAGTTCATTTATGGATTGGATGATTATCTTGATTTCTAATTAAATGCTTCTAATTACAGCAAACAAAAAATTATTATGTCAAAAATTAGTATATCAGAAAGCAGAGTACTGAGTGTGCCTTGAGCTTCCTGTTTATAAATTCTGCTACATTGATTTTTGGAATGTACAATGCATCATCATTTTGAAACTATTCTTCTGCGGTGTCAGCATATGCCACAGCAGGATTTGACTACCAATTCACAAAGGGGAAGTAAAATAATTCAGCGAAATTTTAGGAACCCTGAAACAAGCTCTGAATTTTAAAAGCTTGTGTTTATATTTAAAATTGACACTTGCATGTAAATCAAAGATTATGATGGTAACTGGACTAAAATATGGCAATGTGGACTACATCATTTTTTATACTTTAGTCATCATTAGGTAGGTTATTTTTTTTATGTTCATCTGCATATTTCTCATATCCTGCATTATTGAATAATATTATGGAATATATCAATGTATTCCTCAATTTAAAATGTGAATTCCAATTTATCCAACCAAAGAATAATTAGGAGGAGCAACCCGTTTATTCTTCTGCCAGATGTGATATGCTCAATGAATCCTACAGACTTTTCATCAGTACCAGAATCTAGTAGTTTCTTGTCTTGGGAAGAAGTCTCATGTCCTTTCCCAGACCCATTCGATATTTGATTTCATTCAACATTCAAGCAGGTCCAAAAGTTTGTGGTTCTATGTACTTTCACATAAAGGAGAATCAAACACAGCAAATGAAAAATACCTGGTCTGGAAAATCACGGTTTAGGTCATTGTTGTTTGCATTACCACGCCTCCTTAGTGAAAACCCATCAGGATTCATTGACGGAAGTATATGAAGATGAACATTATCTATAATCAGTGTTGCCTGTGGTCACCAATGCCCAGTTCATTATGATTACATATTTTAAGTGAAACATACTGTATTACTACGTTACAAAGTGCCACTGTTATCGACCATTCTGAGAGAAAAGAAGGGTAGATAAATAGACAAATGTATACTGGAAGTAAAGTCAATTAGAAAAAAAAAAATTGCAAGTGGTTTAAAATATAATCATGCATGTCAAGAGTAGATCATACATGAAGCCATGAAGGAAATATTTTTAATATATATATATATATAAATCATGCTAAGGAATTAAATGGTCTCCTGATGCACAAATGTACCTTTGAAAGGTACATCTCATGATGCATGAATTAGTACTTAAGTAGGCTGAATTTGGGAGAAGAATGGATGGTATTGCAAATAAACAAGACAACTAGAATTTACTACATAAGCCCCATGGTACTAAGGAACTACCAAAAAGACCCATCCCCTTTCCCACATAACTTTGACTAAAAGAAAAAGGAGAAATACCAAAAAGGAGCAAGCTACAAAATAGGCGTCTTATTTAATTACACAATTCATTAGCAATTGAAAACAGTGTGAACTTTCAAAAGTGAATTTCCCAGAAAACTAGGACAATGCTAAAGCTGAACGGTGGAAGGCAGGAAAAGGGAAGGGAAAGGAAGGAGAAGGATAGCAATTACAGGATTTGGTAGAGGTGGGAAAGGAGAACTGAAAGGAAGAGAAGAGGTAGGTCTTCCCTCCAAGCCACCATATTCTTTCCTCCCAAATATGGGAGGAAAAAGAGATACCCCTCTATTTTTTTAACATTTTTTCCCCAAATAATCATTTCTTTAATATGTGAGGTTATAATAACAAAATCACGTGATATTCCTTTCCTCCTTTCTCTATTCCTTCCTGTGTAACCAACAAAAAGAGGTAAAAGCCTCTTCCTTTGCATAAAGATACCTTTTCCATCCTTCCTACCTTCCTTCCAATTTCTCGTCCTGGGTAACAAGAAAAGTTGATAAAAAAATGTGTAAAAGGAAAGCAAAGAACATTACCAATGGATCCTTCATATAATTATCACACAACCAATTTGCCAGACGCAACAGAAGCTCACGACCTACAGGTTCATCCCCGTGCACATTTCCTATGAACTGCATCCAGAAAATCAGTAACCAAAATAATCATAGCATCTATGGTTCTGAAAAGGCAATTACTTGTACAAATATTAGGAACAAAAACCAAAAATGCTTTGAAGTAGTGGTACTGGTACCCAGACAAAATAAAAATACATTACTTAATATGCACAGAAGTGTCCTGATAAGTCAATGTATTACCCAAAAATAAAACCACTCTCCCACTAGTTTTACTCCAAAACTATCCATGTCACAAAATTTGCCATATTGGACATCATACAGCAACCTAACTTATTCCAGGACACAACACATTTTGTAATATTGTAGTTCCTACTAAAGAAAATATATATACAGCAACCTCACTTATTCGGACAGTTCTTGTGGATGAATTATTGTGGAGATATCCTGATTTTGAATTTAAGTATCGATGACTGCTAGTTGTATAAGCTTTATTGATGATGTATATGTAATGGAGATTTTATGTCAATTGTTGATCGTTTATTGAACTAGCATGTATAGTGTTTCTTGGTGGATCCATATCTGTATGATTTGGCTTGTAAACACCATTACAGTTTTTGCTTGGTTCACTCCCAGTTTGTTTATGTATGCTGGAGGTAGTGAGGGTGAATTGTTAAGCTCAAAGGAAGTTCTCTTTTGCTTTTGTCTCAAGGATTGTGTTGAAAAGTTTGGTACCATATGTTACCCAATAAATGACTCTAGAGGAGAGGAGAGGGAGGGGGGTTGAATAGAGAGTCTATGGCAAACAATGGTAATTTTTCAGATTAAAAGATTATGCAAGTCTAAGCAAATATCTCTATAAATTGTGCAAGATGAATTATGAATATAACAATGTAAGCAATGTAAGCACAATAAAGTATGAGATAAGGGAAGAAAATTTGCAAACTATAACACGCCGATTTAGCGAGGTTCGGAACTCCTACTCCTCGGCTCAAGATCCCTCTTGAGACTTTCCCAAATCCAATACGGCTTCTCCTTTCGGATGGAGAGCAAACCTTTACAATGAAGCAAACTTGCTTCCTTCTCTTAGGCTTCCTTTGGCTCACACCAACCCTTTAGAACAGTTTGTGGGAAGAATATGTATACAAGAAGATCTCCCAAAACATTGATATACAAATCAGATTGATACACAAATCAAATGCTCATAAGACTAGGTAGATATGAAATCAAGTTGAAGCTCAAGTTTGTTGATGAAAAGAGAGAAAGAGTCAAAGATTGTATTGAATGCTCATAAATGTTTCTCAAGTGTATTTTCTCCATAAATGCACAACCGTATATATAGAGAAAATCTGCAGAATATGGCTGTTAAAGCTAGTTGGAGAAGCATTAAATGCTAAACTAGCCGTTAGAATTCAAACCCAGCAGGTTTCGGTCGGCTAATACAAGTTTCGGCCGGCAGATACGTCTGTTTGGCTTAGCATGCTTACTGCCTCAATTTAGGTCCAATACCAGTCCGCTCTGCTGGAAGTTTCACCAGTCGACCGAAAGTACCTAATTGTGAATTTAGACTACCTTTAAGGTGTCTTTGGCCTTGTACTTCATTTAGGTCAATTGTGAATGAAACAATAATGTTCATGACCTACTTCTAGGTTGTTTAAGGATCAAAGATGGATAAATGAATGATTTATGCATGATCCTAAAGAGATGAGATTTGAAAAAATTTCATAAATACTCTGACAAATGAATCATATGCACTCACCAACCTATCTACCCCTTTCTTCAATCTTTGGCGTTGATCATTGAGCTTTAGGGATTCTTCCTTGATCTTTGAGTTGAATTCTTGGCCTTTCAAAACCAAGTCAACTTAAATGCTCCATGCTTTGACTTTTTGGATCTTCAAGTCATTTCCATGTCCAGCGCTTCACCGTTGATGTCTTCATGTGTAATGGAATGCTTAGAATGTGACTTTGATCTTCTTTGCTTCATTGAGGTCAATCTTGGAAATATGACAAATCAAGTACAACACTCAATGTAAATACTAGTGCCTAAACACTATTAATGGTTTGTAATCATCAAAATTACTAGATTGCCCTATCAAAACCTTTGGGTCAACACCATATGGTGAAAATCGGGTCGTGACACCAACCCACATCTTTTCACATCCGAAACTTGGTACCGGCAATGGGAGAGTCAAAAATAACCTATGTTTATGATTTCTAACTAATGTTTACCCTATAACTAGACTTCCACAATAATGTGCTCTCGAGTCATACCTACGGCAGACTTGATACATAGACCAGAATAATCTCACTTCAAAAACTTAATCAGCAGAGATTCTTAACAAAAACCCAGTTAATAAGAATACAAATAGTTAACCACCATCTACTCTAAAAGCTTAAGCTGTTAGAGAAGGTGTGACTTTATTATCTAAATCCTTCAACAGGCCCCCTCAAATGTGGCCTTCTTTTTGGTCCAACACGTGTTTTCAGTTTCAATTATCAGGGTGATGGTTAGGTTTGAGCACAGGGCCTTGCCTGCTCAGTAAAGTACCAGATCAGATCAGCAGAGCAACCAAAAATATCTCAATGCAAGAAATAAAATATCAGATCAGTAGAGTAAGATTCTACCATTCTTTTAACATGTCATGTGCTAAAAGAATCTCTCAAAACATGCAAAACAAGAATAATGCTGTCAATTACAAAACTCCAAAATCTCTAAGAAACGTATTTGTTGGAAAGGAGAATATTCGGCTGAGATTTATTGCTGATCTCTAGGGACTGCCTAGCTGTATTTTATATTTAAATATAGGCCTAGTCAACTCTGTAAATAAGGAAAATTAGTTGTATAGTTATTATGTTCCTTTTTTAATGCCTTGTATAGCCTTATAGGTAGTGTACGTATATATCATTCTCAGTATCAATGAAATACCATTTCACTAAAACAATTCTCTCCTAATTCCTTGTTGTTCAGATGGTATCAGAGCAGGAACTTTATTTCTGACTCTTTTCTGCATTCCGAAAAAAATTACCAGGACTTATTCCTTGGTAAACTCCACATTTTTTTTTTCTTTTTCCTCTCAAATTGAAACCCCAACTTCTCACGATGTCTTAAGTCTCATCTGAAGTCTCTTCTAAGCCTACTGAAAATCGTGGTCCTCTTTCTTCACTTGGAGAGGCATTTGCTGAAGTTCAAAGGGAGGAAAGCCGCCGTAGTGTTATGCTCGGAAAAAGGGGGCTAGGGCATCGATTGAAAATTCTGCCCTAGTCATTGCTGATGCAAATGCGAGCAGAACTTCCAATAGCCAGCGCAGAGCTGAGGACAAGCCTCAGATATGGTGTGATTTCTGCAACAAACCCCGCCATACACGTGAGACATGCTAGAAGATTCATGGCAAACCTGCCAACTAGAAGAGCAGCAAGCCTGGAGACCGATCTGCTCGTGCAAATGAGGCTGATGCTGGTCCCTTCAGTAAAGAGCAGATGGGATCATCTTCTGAAGCTGCTGAAATCCAATCCAGAGTCTCGTATTCCTTATGTTTCTCTGGCCCAAACAGGTAGCAACTCTAGTGCTTTCTCTTGTCATTCTAGTCCTACACCTTGGATCATTGATTCGGGTGCTTCTGATCACATGACAAATCTCTCTCGTGTATTTCATTCTTATTCGCCTTGTTCTAGTAATAAAAAAAAGTTAGAATTGCAGATGGAAAATTTCATCTATTGCAGGAAAAGGCTCTATCAAAATTTCTGAAAAAATCACCCTAAAATCTGTCCTTCATGTCCCTAATCTTGCCTGTAATCTCTTACCTGTGAGTCAACTCTCTAAAGATTCTAATTGTCATGTTACCTTTTTTGACTCTCACTGTGATTTTCAGGACCTGAGCACTGGGATGATGATTGGCAGTGCTAGAATGGTGGACGGTCTTTACTATTTTGATGACAACTTCCTCCGTAATAAACAAGTTCAAGGCTTTGGTACTAGAATTAGTTCTCTCTCTGTCCGTGAACAAATAATGATTTGGCATACTAGACTAGGACATCCTAGTTTTTCTTATTTGAATTATCTATTTCCTGTTCTATTTAAAAATGTGGATTGTTCATCTTTTCAATGTGAAAGTTGTCATTTATCAAAGAGCCATCGTACTACGTACAATTCAAAACCATATTGTGCCTCAAAACCATTTTACTTAATTCATAGCGACGTTTGGGGTCCTTCAAAAATTACCACATCTTCTGGAAAAAAATGGTTTGTAACTTTCATAGATGATCACACTCGGCTATGTTGGTTATATTTGATGAATGATAAATCTGAAGTTGAAAATTTGTTCAAAAATTTTTAGCATATGGTTGAAAACCAATTTCAAACAAAAATAAGAATACTTCATTCTGATAATGGAACTGAGTATTTCAATCAATTTTTGGGAAATTTTTTAAAGGAAAAGAGGATTCAACATCAATCTACTTGTAGTGATACTCCTCAACAAAATTGTATTGCCGAGAGAAAAAACATACATTTACTTGAAGTTGCACGTGCCATAATGTTCTCAATGCATATACCAAAATATCTATGGGGAGACGCTATTTTGACAGCATCTTCTTTAATAAATAGAATGCCTACTCGTATTTTTAAATATATTACACCTTTAGAGTGTTTCAAAATCTTCTTCCCTGAATGCCGAATTTTCTCTAACTTACCCTTGAAAATTTTTGGGTGCACTGTGTTTGTTCACATACCTAGTAGGCTTCAATCCAAACTTGATCCTAGGGCAGAAAAATGTGTGTTTATCGGTTATGCGCCAAACAAAAGGGGATACAAGTGTTATAATCCTAAAACAAAAAACATTTTTGTGAGTATGGATGTATCGTTTGTGGAAAGTCAGCCTTACTTTGGACAAAACTGTCTTCAGGGGGAGATAGTGAATAATGAAGCTCAATTTTGGGAAACAGCTGTTCCTCTGCCTAATACCTTAGTTGTTTCTCTACCTAATACCTTCTTTCCCGTACCTGTTCTTGATCCTTCCACCTCTAATAATCAAAACTCAGTGCTTCGTGTTTACACTAGAA